AACAGATTGATAAGAATTTTTTGCTTCGCACCTAAATTTGGATCATCCGGAAAAAATCGGCGCAATGAGTGTTTGGACAATGAATTTTTAAAAATTATACGAACCGCGAGTTGATTTTCTAACTCATCCTGTTCTTTCTTTTGGTCAGGATTACAAAAGTACGTATGCTCATCAGTGACTAGAGTTGGCTTAGTGGATGAGCTCGTTCGTGAGCCATTCGATGAAGAGGGTGAAGGTGTTTCTAAGCGGGAGATTAATGGCGCAGTTTCTGGTTTAGGCGCTATGCAAGTACCTTGTTGCGTTACCAGCCACACGTCAACTTTGCCGCCATTGTCCAGCGATACATACAAAGATTTCTGCAATATATACAAATTTTATAAATATTACGGGCGGATAAAAAACCATGTTACATACGCGTCCAGGCTCTATTTTGACCTCCTCATCATGGTTAGGTATTACAAGAACTACATTATCTCCGTAAGTGGAAAGCAAGTCATCGCGCGTCACATATGCGTACGACTTGTTAACCGCATCATTTTTAACATACTTCAAATTGCGACGAGCATATTCTAATTGCAGATCTACATCGGCTTCGAGCGCTTTCAAATGTCTGGCTCGCGCATGCGCCGCTCGCAGACTTTCCCGACCTGTACTTGTGTTTAATGCGCCGCTGTCCAGAGTAATAATGAAACAAATTTTATAATCAATAAATTAAACCCAGTCATGCTTCAATATAACTTACCACCATCGCACTGTACTGCTGTGCCGTGTCTTTTCAATCAAGCCCACGCCTTCCAAAACGTTTGTTATGTCGTAGATTCTACGTTTTTGCACATCCAAAAGCTCAGTTGCCTGACGAGAAATCAATTTGTTGAACTTAATGCATACATACATTTGCGCAATAAAATATTACAAGTGCTACTGCCCGCCAATCATAATCTTTCGAACTACATACATTTGCCTTTTATATGTTGTTGAAGCGCCAAACACAGTTATATATTGCGCACCACCCTTCACATTACCCCACCCACTTCAATCAAAATCTATAAATGCATGCAGAGCAAGAATATTAACTTCTTTGCAAGTTACCTCTTTGAGATCAATTCGTCCATGGTTTTGCTTCATCAAACGCACGAATTTCTGTGTAAGTACCACTAGGGATCCAACAGCGCGATGTTGTTCCTGCCTGGTTGGGGTGGGCGCGGAGCCATTCAGCACTACTCGTTCGCTCATTATTGCATCTCGCACAGCTTTCGCATTCATGGTGGGAACAAAATACGGGTGGGGTTTAGTACCGCTCACAACTATTTCGGGCTATTCCGTCCAAATGGGTGGCCCGATCCAAAAAAAAATTTCACACACTTGTAGTCAAGGGTCCACGCAATATTTTAACACTCACTTTTGTAAATTTTGGTTACTAATTTATTTACAAATTGGGTTTGAAATATGCCCTTTTTTGTAAAATTCGGAAATTAGCGTACATTTATCACTCCTATTCTGCTTAAATTAGCCACTTCACCAATATATTTTTATATTCCCCTTCACTTTACACTTTACTTGATTTGTTATAACTTGCTTTACGACTTTAATATTAACCAATTCATCACAATTCATTAAATAAAAACACCTTCAAAATCACGCGTCTGACTTTGGTTGCATATGCAAATTAAATGGCGGAGTTCAGCTGTCAAACTCCAAAAGATGCAAAAGAATGAGAGACAAAAGAAGATAGGATATAACCCAGTAAGCATTAAAAATATACAAAGGTGTTCTCTGCAAAAGGTGTTCAGCTCCTTTTCTTCGCAAAACAGAAAGGAGAATTCTACTGCCTGAGGGTTATAATCCCTAAGTGCGGCCGAAGGCCGCCTACGCAGAAAGGTGTTCTCTGCAAAAGGTGTTCAGCCCCCCCTTCTTTGGCAACACAGAAAGGAGAATTCTACTGCCTGAGGGTT